TTAAAATCTAATTGATCTGATATAAGGATTGCCAATCCTGCTTTCTTCTGATGTCCATTAGCATGGTAAATTCTTTTCCACCACCTCACTTTAAATCTAGAGGTGTCCTCAGGTTTAAAATGAGTTTCTTGTAGGCAACATATAGATGGGCTTTGTTTTTTTATCCATTCTGATACCCTGTGTCTTTTGATTGGGGCATTTAGCCCATTAACATTCAGGGTAACTATTGAGAGATATGAATTTAGTGCCATTGTATTGCCTGTAAGGTGACTGTTACGGTATATTTTTTCTGTTCCTTTCTGATCTACTAGTTTTAGGCTCTCTCTTTGCTTAGAGGACCCCTTTCAATATTTCCTGTAGAGTTGGTTTGGTGTTTGCAAATTCTTTCAGTTTTTATTTGTCCTGGAAGCTTTTAATCTCTCCTTCTATTTTCAATGATAGCCTAGCTGGATATAGTATTCTTGGCTGCATGTTTTTCTCGTTTAGTGCTCTGAATATATCATGCCAGCTCTTTCTGGCCTGCCAGGTCTCTGTGGATAAGTGTGCTGCTAATCTAATATTTTTACCATTGTATGTTACAGACTTCTTTTCCCGGGCTGCTTTCAGGATTTTCTCTTTGTCACTAAGACTTGTAAATTTGACTCTTAGGTGACGGGGTGTGGACCTATTCTTATTGATTTTGAGGGGGGTTCTCTGCACCTCCTGGATTTTGATGCTTGTTCCCTTTGCCATATTAGGGAAATTCTCTCCAATAATTCTCTCCAATATACCTTCTGCTCCCCTCTCTCTTTCTTCTTCTTCTGGAATCCCAATTATTCTAATGTTGTTTCGTCTTATGGTGTCACTTATCTCTCGAATTCTCCCCTCATGGTCCAGTAGCTGTTTGTCCCTCTTTTGCTCAACTTCTTTATTCTCTGTCATTTGGTCTTCTATATCGCTAATTCTTTCTTCTGCCTCATTTATCCTAACAGTGAGAGCCTCCATTTTTTACTGCACCTCACTAATAGCTTTTTTGATTTCAACTTGATTAGATTTTAGTTCTTTTATTTCTCCAGAAAGGGCTTTTATATCTCCGGAGAGAGTTTCTCTAATATCTTCCATGCCTTTTTCGAGCCCGGCTAGAACCTTGAGAATCGTCATTCTGAACTCTAAATCTGACATATTACCAATGTCTGTATTGATTAGGTTCCTAGCCTTTGGTACTGCCTCTTGTTCTTTTTTTTGTGGTGAATTTTTCCGCCTTGTCATTTTGTCCAGGTAAGAGTATATGAAGGAACAAGTAAAATACTAAACGGGTGGCAACAACCCCATGAAAATATGCTTTAACCAAATCAGAAGAGATCCCAAATCGTGAGGCGGGGGGGCAAAAGGGGATATAAAGAGGTTCGGAAAGAAAAAAAAAAAGAAAGAAAGAAAAAAGAAACAAAAAAAGAAAACCAATAATGAAAAAATATAAAAAGGAAAATTATATATATATATATGTATATATATATATATATTAGATAAACTAGTTAAAAAAGAAAAGGGTAAAAGTTAAAAAAATTTAGCAGAAGAAGAGAAAAAAAAATTGAAAAAGAAAAAAAAATTTAACTGCAAGGCTAAAGAATCAAGGGGAGAAAGCCATGAGTTCCGTGCTTTGCTTTCTCCTCCTCTGGAATTCCGCTGCTCTCCTTGGTATTGAAACTGCACTCCTTGGTAGGTGAACTTGGTCCTGGCTGGGTTTCTTGTTGATCTTCTGGGGGAGGGGCCTGTTGTAGTGATTCTCAAGTGTCTTTGCCCCAGGTGGAGTTGCACCGCCCTTACCAGGGGCCGGGCTGAGTAATCCGCTCAGTTCACTTTCGGGAACTTTTGTTCCCTGAGCGCTTTCCGTAGAGTTCCGGAGTATGGGAATGAAGATGGCGGCCTCCCAGTCTCTAGCCCGGAGGAGCCGAGAGTCTGGGACCCCACTCCTCAGTGCGCTCTCAGAGAACTGCGCCCAATTGCTCCCGTCACCCTGGCCTCTGGCAGCGCTCCGAGCTGACCGAGCCTGCGACCGGTTCAAGGTAAACCCGAGCTTAGAGCTCACTCCTCGGCTCTGTCTCTGTAGCCGGCTTCCCCGTTCTAATACCTGTAAGCTCTGCGACACTCAGACACCCCCGATCCTTCTGTGACCCTACGGGACCTGAGGCCACGCTGACCCCGCGTGGGATTCACCCCGGTTAAGCCTCTGGAGCGATGTCCCTCAGCAGAATAGACTTTTAAAAGTCCTGATTTTGTGCTCCGTTGCTCCGCCGCTTGCCGGGAGCCGGCCCCTCCCCCGCGGTCTATCTTCCCGGCGCTTTGGATTCACTTCTCCGCCAGTCCTACCTTTCAGAAAGTGGTTGATTTTCTGTTTCTAGAATTGCTGTTCTTCTTCTCTTCGATCTCCCGTTGGATTTGTAGGTGTTTGCAATCTTTAGATAAGCTATCTAGCTGATCTCCCACTACCTGAAGTAGTCTCAGCCTGCTACTTCTCTGCCATCTTGACTCCTCTCAAGATTTTATTTATTTTATTTGACAGATAGAGATCACAAGTAGGCAGACAGGCAGAGAGAGAGGGAGGAGGAAGAAGGCTCCCTGCTGAGCAGAGAGCCTGATACAGGGCTCAATCCAAGGACCCTGGAATCATGACCTGAGCCGAAGGCGGAGGCTTTAACCTACTGAGCCACCCAGGCACCCCTAAAGAAATTCTTTTAACTGACTTGATTTAGTAGGTCTGCTGGAGATAAATTCTTCCACATTTTGTCTGAAATGTATGTATTCATTGATCTTTATCTGCTATTTACAGTTCTCTTGAAAGCCCAAAAAAATAAAAATGCCTAATGTGATTTTTTTTTATCGTAACATTTCTATTCAGTGCTTTTGAAAATTTCCATCTCTTTATTGAAAGGTATTATTTATTCCCTCATGATACTTACTTCTCAAATTATTTAACATGTCAATCATAATTACCTCAATCCATTTCTGATAATCCCAAAATCTGGATATTTCTGGGTCTGATATCATTTTTATGATAGTAATATGTTTTCACATTTCTTAATATTTCATTCAACGTGAGGGACTTTGTATAAAAAAGCTGATAAAAATTGTTTCCCATAAAAATGAGACAGTTTCATCTGCCACGTTACTCCTCTGGGATTGAAGGACAGAGTGCCTGATGTCTTGTGTAAGGTTCGGCCACCTGTTAACTTTCTCCTGCTCCTCTATATACATCCTTACTCTACCAGGCCCCTTGCTGTCCCTTGACAACAAGTGACCCTTATTCTCATGCCTCAACTCCAGGGAAAGACAGTCATTCACCATGTTTAAATTTCAGCTGCTTTCCTCTTAACAGCATTTAGGGAGGTTTCTTCCTCCTCTCACTTCTCTGTTAAAGGTTAAATCCACCATCGATCTCATCTAGCAGGGGACTTGTTACTTTTCTGTATTCACAGGGTTCATATTCCCATGTCTATATTCTAACGGCATAATATAACTATGACTTTGAGTATTATTTGTCTTGAAATAATTACTGGGTCTCAAGTGGCATTCTTTAATGATCCCTTACTAGCCTGGTACTATTTTAAAAATGGCACGTGGAGATCGGGTCTTAAATTAGTTGTACTTGAAACTACTGTGAAAATGTGTATCAGTACTTGTGCTAAAATACCCACTATGGGTATTTTAGTCACCCCTGACTGTGTCCCCAAAACTTGTAGTTTGCTTGAGCAAACTGTTGGGAATAGAAAAAGGAAAAGACCATGTAACATGTACACTGAGAAATACAGGTTTATGTTTTCTAAGGAATCAGGCCATAAGGCTTCCCAACTGAGTCTAATAGGTGCTGAAAAAAATAGAGTTGATAAGTTTGGGGCCACTCCATATAAACATTCATTCCTGCTATTAGAGTAAAAATGAAAATGAGCCATCTTATAGGAGGTCATTGAGTGGACAATTCTTATATCTTGCCAAATACATATTAATAGAAACACTCTGATTATATACTATGCAAATCAAAAAAAGATGATAATCACCAAAAAATAACAACAAACATAAAAGACATTGGGGTGTATCTGCTTGATCAGTAAAAAGACTTGTCAATTTGAAAAGAGGGAACCAGGCCATACTTTAGAAAAGATAGTTGATTAATAATCAGACGACAACTTATTTTAGTGAAATCCCATTGCTTTAACTTTTGTTTCTCTTGCTTTAGGAGACCTATCTAGAAAGAAGTTGCTATAGCTGATGTCGGAGTTTACTTCCTGAGTTCTCCTATAGTACTTCCATATTCTCCTACGGTTTTATGTGTCACATTTAGGTCTTCAACCCATTTTGAATTAATTTTGGTGTATGGTATAAGAAAATGTTCCACTTTCATTCTTTTGCCTGTTGTTATCAAGTACTTTGTCAAAATAAATCCTTCTGCACAGTGAAGGAAAAAACACACTAAAGGCAAATTACAGAATAGGATAAGATATTTGCAAGTGACAAATTTGATAAAGGGTTAGTATCTAAAATGTATGAAGACCTTAAACTCAAACCCCCAAAATGAATAATCTAATTCAAAAATGGGCAGGAGACATGAATAGCCCTTCTTCCAAAGACATACAAATGGTCAACAGGCATATGAAAAGATACTCACTCAACATCACTGATGATTAGAGATATACAAAACTATAGTCAGCTATCAACTCAAATGTGTCAGAATGACTAACCTCAAGAACAGATGAAATAACAGGCATTGGCAAGGACGTGGAGAAAGGGAACCGATCTTGCATTGCTGGTGGGAGTGTAAAATGGTGAAGCCATTCTGGAAAACAGCATGGAGTTTGGTCAAAAAGTTAAAAATTAAACTACCGTACAATTCAGCAATTTTACTACTAAGTATTTACTCAAAGAATCCAAAAATACCAATTCAAAGGGATACATGGAGCATTATCTACAATAGCCAAATTACAAAAACAGTCCAACCATCTGTCAACTGATGAATGGATGAAGGGGTGGTGCATGGGTGTGTGTGTGTGTGTGTGTGTGTGTGTGTGTGTGTGATTTCATTATTTTTATGGCTGAGTAATATACAGTGGGATATTATTCAGCCATTAAAAAAAAAAAACTTGCCATTCGCAGTGACATGGATGGAGCTAGAATAAGTAATGCTAAATGAAATAAGCCAGTCAGAATAAGACAAATAGCATAGGATTTCAATCATGTGTAGAATTTAAAAATCAAGGGAGCTGAAGAAAAGGAGAGAGAGAAAGACCAAGAGACAGACTCTTAAGAAAAGCAAAAAATGGATGGTAACAAGTGGGAATGGGTGAAATAGGTTACGAGGATTAAGGAGGGCACTTTCGTGATGAGCACAGGGTATCTTACAGAGGTGTTGATTCATTGTATTGTATACCTGCAACTAATATTACACTGTATGTTAACTAGCTAGAATTTAAATAAAAACCTAAATTCATTTTAAGTTACTTTTTTAAGTTCATAGTAGAACACAAATTCATGTAATTCAAGCAAAAATTCATAAGGGAAGAAAAGAATGTAAGAAAAAAGGAAGTGAGTGAATAATGCAGAATTCACATTATTTAGTAATAAAATTATGTATTACGTTGCTATTGTAAATGAGGCAGAAATTGGGCTTTAAAAAATCAAAAAGAAGGGCACCTGGGTGGCTCAGTGGGTTAAGCCTCTACCTTTGGCTCAGGTCATGATCTCAGGGTCCTGGGATCGAGCCCCGCATCGGGCTCTCTGCTCAGCAGGGAGCCTGCTTCCTCCTCTCTCTTTGCCTGCTTCTCTGCCTACTTGTGATCTCTCTCCCTGTCAAATAAATAAATCAAATCTTAAAAAAAAAATCAAAAAGACACTCACCATTGAAAATAGTGAGGAAGAAAAACATGGCTGTCAAGGTGGTCATATTTCCAGAATAAGTTTTTTCAACGATAGATGATAGAACAATTCGAACAGACAAATGTAAACCATAATTTTGAGATGAATGTAATGTTCTAAGACAGTTTTTGATTTTTTGTAATAATGGCCTTACTATATTTTACAACATTTTTAACAACCACAGAAAGAATAAAGTTCTTATCATGCAGAAATCATCATGGTTTTCAAGTACAAAATTCTACAAAATTGTCACCATATCAAATTTATATTTTCAAATAGAAATTACTCTAATTTTATAATCAGCATAATAAAGACTATTGTGTTCACTATTCAGAACCTAAAACAATAGCTTCGATATAGTAGTTGTTACTAAAATTTATAAACAAATAGTTTTTGTTTAAAGGACTATCATTTCTAAAAGCAAAAAAGGAAAACACATCTGTAATCACACTGCAGCCATACTGTTAATTTTTTATCTAAAGCTTCCCAGACTTTTATCATAAATGTGTATGTATATTTAGAATCCTCTTATATCTACACTAAAATGCATATTTTATAGGATTTGAATATACTTCTCAATCCTTCCTAGCACAGTATTTCAGAGATTCTCAAAGCCCGAGCTGGGTTGAAAGAAGGGATGTTTAGCTCTAAACGGTGCTGGAGTCCAAGTATTTAAGGAGCTAAACAAAAACCATTGAAGGGGCTTCCTCATCTTCCTCTGATCTTGCGCACGCTTGAAAATGAAATCCGTTGTTTCACTAATATCAAATCTTTTTCCCCCAAGGGAAAACGTGAATATGAGTGTCCTCCAGCAACTCGGAGTTACATATAAAAATGTTTGTTTTCGAGTTCCAGCACAGAGCGAGGTGAGAAAAGCAGCGCGCCCATGGATCCCAGAGCCCTCCAGGCCCTGCAGCGTGAGGCCGGTGGGTGAACTGGGGGGCCTGGGGACAGGTCGCGGGCTGTGACCTGCAGAGACCCAGCGCCCTCGCCGTGGCTGCCCACTGGTAAGGCCCAGACTGAAGCAGCTGCGAGCTTCTCTGCACCCCGACCTCACCTTGGTGCTGATGGCGGCAGCTTCTGGGACCCCAGACCTCGCCTGCTGCTTACACCTCGGGCGCAACTCTGAGGGGCCTCCGCCAAGCCCCTGCCCAAGCCCCAGGCACGCGGCGCCTTTGGACATCGGGTGTAGAGGAGCGAGAAGAATGGCGGCCACGCGAATGCCGCCCACTAGGCCATCGAGGGTCTGAGAAGGTGGGTCTGCGGGGACGCTAGCTCGGCCACCTTTGGGCCTTGCAGCCCCATAGGTCCGGCCCTGGGAAGACCGCTCTGTCCCCACTGGACGAAACCTCACCTTCCATAGAGAACGGTGGACAGAGGCCCTAACTGGCCAGGAAGGACGGGTGGAACGGTTAACGGGCCACAGGCAGTTGGTCTTCGTTCCACCAAACGTTGATGTTGGAAGATCGACGTGGGAGAATTAGGTACGGCGTTTGGCCAATGGGAAGACCACCCTTCGGGAAGATTTACTGGCCGTTTTAGAAGGCCTGTGTACATAATATGAAAAAGCTGCTCTCAGCTCCCCGCCGCCCAACCTTTCAAAGGAAAACTTTTGCCACATCTAGGCCTTCTAGATGTGAAGAGGTTGAACACATATGATAAAGTAGAGTTAGAAAAATCACACGTCTTGTAAATGCTTATTTTTTTTTTTAATCATAGAAATGTCTTTTGAAAATGACTTTGAAATGGAATTGCTAGACCACCTCTTGAAGGGACATCAGGAGCAACACACATCCACATTTGTTCAGTGGTTAAGAGGACATGAGATAGACGACCTTGAGGAGGAAGAAAAGGTTCTGTGCCAGACTGGTCATATTTAGAAGACATTTTAAATTACAACCATTGTTTTGTGTCTGCATTTTATCCCTCAACTACTGTATATATAGATGACAATGCTAAGTACATTTTTGAAATATCTACTCTTTCCAGATATTCTGAAGTGCCTGATAGGTGTTGAAAATAGAGGTAGTAAAAAGACATGCTAATAAATATCTTTTTGTTAACATTCATATGGAATGCTGTTTAATTTGGGGGGAATGGCCAAAACACCTCTTTGAATAGTACACATTGTGTTTGTGCACTGGTTCAAAGGAGGAGGGAGGAGAGCTCTGCCAGTGTGTTTATAGTGAGGGAAGATTAACCATTGTCCTTTATGTTTCTGCATTTTGGTTTACTTAGTTGTGTATATAGTGTATATACTAGACAAATGAGTTCTAATTTTCAACATCTTGTCTTTCTAGATCTTAAAGAGGTTGGCAGTGTATGACAAATTAGTAAAATTAGCATATTCTGTACACATTGCATTGAAATTCAAAGGAAAGCTTTTCTTCTATAACTGACTTTTGGCTATGAATTTGTTCAACCACCTTTAAACATTACACTTGCCTGTACTTGTCTACTGGATTTGTGGTGGAGAGAAGGAAGTGAGGGAGAGAATAGTTTAGTCCAAAATAATGGTCGTATTTAGAAGATATCTCC